ACACACACACACACACACACACACACAGGAATGCTTTTATTTCCATAAATCTAAATTACTCATGCACAAATACTTTGGAAGAGAAGAGGGCCTACTGCCTAGACACATTTCCAACATTCTTATGTAGAAAGAGAAAATGCAAATTAACGTGTCAACTTTATTCATTCTTTCTCGAATTTCCCTGGCACCTTCTTTTTTTCTTTGGCTTTATGTCCTATTCACTTTCTCCATCTTTTCTAGACAGCTAATCATTTAAAACTAAGAATGCCAAACAACAAAAGCTAGGATTTTTTGAGATTTAGTGGCCAGGTACCTGCCACTGTGGAAGAAACAAAACCAAAACCAAATTGATTTCCAAAGGGACTATACAAGTTTACACTCCCACCAGCAATGGAGGAGGGTTCCCCTTTCTCCACAACCTTTCCAGCATGTGTTGTCACTTGAGTTTTTGATCTTAGCCATTCTGATGGGTGTAAGATGAAATCTCAGGGTTGTTTTGATTTGCATCTCTCTGATAACTAAGGACGTTGAACATTTCTTTAAGTGTTTTCTGCCATTCAATATTTCTCTATTGAGAATTCTCTGTTTAGCTCTGTACCCCATTTTTAATTGGATTACTGAGCCTAAAACCCCGGCTCACATGTAGCCCATAGATTCAGTCTCCAAGTGGGGTCTCTAGTAAGGGGAACAGGGGCTTTCTCTGGCATGAACTCAGTGGCTGGCTCTCTGATCACTTTCCCCTGGGGGGGGGGGGTGCAGTCTTGCCAGGCCACAGAGGAAGACAATGCAACCAGTCCTGATGAGACCTGATAGACTAGGGTCAAATAGAAAGGGAGGAGGTCCTCATCTATCAGTAGACTAGAGGAGGAGCACAGGGGGAGAAGAGGGAGGGAGGGTGGGATTGGGAGGAGATGAGGGATGGGGGGCCACAGCTGGGATACAAATTGAATAATTTGTAATAAACGATAATAAAAATAATATTAGCTACCAAACAAACAAACAACCACAACAACAAAACCCAAAAAAACAGGTAGGGACAAGACCATGCCCTGAACGTAGTTGTCAAGGATCTACACACACTAAAAACCTTGGTGGCAGTGGTAGCACGCTCCTTCCCACTCTTTTCAGAAAAAACAAAACAAAACAAAAAAAAAAAACAAAAAAACAAAACAAAACAAAAAAAAAAGTGACGCAGAATATTTTCAGAAAATAAAAGTCCCACTACTCATTTCTTACACTTCACTCCCCAGCATCACACTTCTGGCCTTTTCCTGAAAGGACTTAGAGGACACTAACAAAGCCATCACCAGATCACGGTAGGTGGGAGTACAAAATAATGTAAAGGAGACGGCACCTTCAGGATTGTCAGGAAAACCCTTAAATAGTCTGGAAAGAAAGAATGAGGAGAAAGTATCAGGAAACCCTACCAAAAAAAAAAAAAAAAAGCAAGTGAAATATAAATACGGGGGTTGGGTGGTACAGACCTCAATAATGCAGGACACCAACGTTGGGAACAAAAAGGCCAAACTGGATGTTACCGGGAGGTAGGCGGCAGAGAAGAGGGGCACAGGAGGAAGTGCGGCGCGGACTCCACCACCACGCCAGCAGCCTGCGCCTGCGCGGAGGTGCGCAGTGGCTAGCCACAACACCTGTTCTTGGACTGCCACTGGCGCAGCGCGCCCAGGGCAGTCAGAGAAGGCCGGGTCATTCTGCACCATGTCCAGACCCCTGGGTACGCGGGAAGGCCTGAGCCCCGCCCTGCTCCTGCACCGGCCGAGACGTCCCGTCCTCCGGTCCCGGGGAGCCCTGCTCCTGCTGAGCCGCCCCGGGGGCGCCCGGGTCGGGGAAGCGCGGCGCCGTGCCCGCGAAGGAGTCCCTGCGCGCCAGCGTCTCCTCCTGCACCGGGCGGCCCACCGGCTCCGGCTCCGCCTCGGCAGGCCCCGGGCCCTCCTGCGAGGTCTGGCTGACGTACACCACGATGATGTCGCCCTTGAAGTTCATCACCTGCCCGCTGGAGATGAATGTGGAGTTACTGTTCCCCGTCACGTTCCCTGCAGGGGACAGAGCATAGAGAAACTGCATGAGGGACCTCGGGGCTGGCGGTGGAGCCACAAGAGTTGTTCCCCTTGGAAAGGTTAAGTCATCTGTCTTAGCGGGCGCACTGAGGCCTCAGAGGAGAGGGGGCAAAGGAAGAGATGGAAAAGGAGGCAAGCCTCATACACATTCATGTTTTTCGTCTTTTCGTACCTCGCGGGAATCGCACACAACTGCTGGCACTGAAAGGAGAACCCACCCGCACTCTGGACTCTAGACAACATTATTAAGCTGGAGAGAAGCAGGAGGGAAGAGGAGGAAGAAAGCTTTGGGGGGTGGGGATAGAGTAGGGGAAAAGAGCGGAGAAGGAGAAGATGGAAGGGGAGAGAGGAAGATAGAAGGACAGAATGGGGAGGGAGGACGCTAGTAGGATGGGGTCCAGCTGTGATGGCTGAGCAGACCTCAGCTCACTGGCCTAGCTGGAGCAGTGGAGGCATAGCCTTCCTACCTTCCAAAAGGAACCTGACTTCTCAGCCCTGCGGGGTGACTATGGAGCTAAGAACACTCAGAGATTAGCAGACATTAATAAATTTCAATTTCACTCCCCTTCAAACAAAACAAAACAAAACAAAACAAAAACTAGCTCTATCATCCCTTGGTGGATAAGTAGAAGCAATCAGTCTTTGGTTAATAACACTGGCAAGCAGGAAGTTTAACTGACGCGAGGGAAGTTGCCCCCCCCCCTTTTTTTTATTCTTTCATTTAAAAGACCCATGCGCCACAAATTTCTCAGTTGAAAAATAACTGCTCAAACCCCCAACACAGCATCACAAAGGGAACCTTTGGTCTTTTTCGGGGGCCAGGGACATCAAAGTGGTCCCGCCAGCGCTCACCGTTCACTTATCTACCCTCTGTCCTGACCCAACCTGACAGTAAATTATACAAATAAGATGAAGCTTGTGCTACACCCCCTGAATGAAGTTTCCTCAGATTTGGAAGGGCTTTTTAAGACAATGACTACTGTGCTGCAGGCATTCAGGAAATTCCTGTGAGGGAGCCTTGGGCCAGTGTGGGGGCCCAGTGGGAAGATAAAGACTTTAAACATGAGCAACAAAGGTCTGTGATTCCTGCCACTCCCCTACGGGCCACTGCGTGGAGTATGTAGGTAACATCAGGATCTATCCCACCCCCCTCCACAATAACATCAGGGAGCCTAGCTCCCGTTTCTACCCCCTCGGAAGTGCGCCCAGGGGCTTCGAACCCGTAGTGTGCACTCAACAGACTGTGCATGACTTTCTCTCCCACCCGTTGTTAGTCTCATCTGGATCAAATGATTTGAGGAAAATCAAACCAAGAAACTGAAGTAACACGAGTTATATTCTAACTAAACATGTGCTGTACCTACTTAATGAAATCAGTGATTGTGAGTTGCTCAGGAGTATGGTTTTCCTCAGTACAGCCACTGCTATATGACATCATCTACTGCCTTTGTTCTTCAAATATGTTAAAACGTGGAGGGCATCCCTAGCTAGTGCAGGGTTGGTTTATCATTCTAGATTTAATTCCATCTCTTCTTTCTCCTCATCATACTTAGATTTATCTGCTGGTGTCATGGTGCATGGGATTTATTCACCATTTACATTTTTATTGTCCAACAAATCATCACGATGAACCTACTGTTCTTTATTTCTCGCTTCTCAAGAGTCTCAGTTAAAGCTGGCCCCGAGGTTTTGTGTAAAGTCTTGCATCTTGAACTTTCACTCTAAGCATTTTGCCTTGACAGATTTACCCTGATAGCCCTGCACTAAAAATCCTAACACACATTCTTGTTTTCCATTTGCATTTCCAGTGTGGAACCCAGTGTCTTTAGCTCGCAGGACATAGTTAGACAATACACAATCCTTTGATTCATAGATTAATGTCTGTTATTCCTGGAAGACTTGGGTCAGGCAGAAGGACTGAAGAAAGACCTTTTAAATTGCTGACAGTAAGTAAAGTTACCTAGAAAGAGAATGAGATTATTAATTTTATTTGTTGGTTATTTTTTTTTAAATCAAAGGTGTGGTTTACAGGCCAGCACAATGACTGTACGGGTAAAAGCGCTCTTCAAAAAAGCCCAAGTTCAATTCTCAAATCCCACAACAGAAGCACAGTACCAGAAAATTGTCCTCTGACTTCCACACTTGCACTGTGGCATGTGTGACCCCCCACACACACACAGACACACACACAGACACACACACACACACACACACACACACTAAAAATGTAAAGAAATGACTTATAACAAAACAGTCCTTGGTCAAGTCCACCAGGCTAATCTTGGGGGGAAGTGTCAACTGGTACAGAATAAGCTTAAAAAGCATCCTGAATTTGCCAGTATGCAAGGGGCAGGACAGTGGCCCTCACGGATGTGTCACCCGCACACCTGCCCAGGACCACATGCTCAGAGGCTTTGCTGTCACCATCACCTTGGGGCTCCTATTGCACTTCTGTTCTTCAGTAGGCTCTGCAGTGGCCACTGGTCCTGAGGGTTACGCGGTAAGACTGCAGCTCTAGCTTTGTCCCCACACATGCTCTGATTTAGTGCCACTGTTTTACGGGCTAACATCTTCTTAGATGAGCACATTTCAACATTGCTGAAGTGTTAGCAAATCTACTTTTCTCTGTCAATGAGCTAGATACTTAATAAGACAGTGAACTGTAGACATTGTCCATTGATAACCCCCTTTCTTCTTATTCACTGTCTTTCTCTAGGCTAGCCCCAAACTCCTTACACTTCTAAGAAGGATCTTGAACTCCTGATCCTCCTGCCTCTGTCTTCTGTGTGCTGGGGTTGCAGGCTTGCTGTGCTCATAGGCATGCAGCACTGCTTCTGTTTATGCAGTACTGGGCATTCGACCTGGGGCTTTGGGTATGCCAGGCAATTACTCTGCCATCTGAACTATGTCTCCAGCCCCGAGGCTCTTAAAACACAGCCCCAGGCTATGTTCCTCCCTCCACCACTTGCTGGAACACTCTCAAAGACTAACGAGTGTCAATTATGTCTTCAGTGTTTTGATATAAATTTTGGTCTAGTTTCTTTAAAGTGGTATGACAATGAAAGGTTGTTTCTGAAGGTAAGAGTGTAAGCACCTCAACTTTGTTCCCTCATTCTTGCACAGCCCTATCAACTACTTCAAATTCAATGGCAAGACCTTTTTAGCAACTCATTCTCTGAATAGTACCTAATCTTCCAATAGTTTTTATAACAGTAATCCTCTTGCCTATCAAACTTATTATTTCTTGAGCCAGGCACGGTGTCACACATCTGTAATCTCAGCACTCAGGGAGACAGAGGCAGCCAGATCTCTGTGAGTTTGAGGTCTACAAAGCAAGTCCAGGACAGCTAAGGCTACACAGAGAAACCCTGTCTTGAAAACCCAAAGGAAAACAAAACTAAACAACTAACCAACCAATCAACCAAACAAACAAACAAAAACAACAAGAGCAAGAAAAGCCAACTGATGGGTCCTAAAGTATGATGAGATCAGCTCTCACTCACAGCCCTGGGAACATACATGGGTTCCAGAAAGCATGGCCAATCACTTGTGGGAGCAGGGAGGGGGTGGGGCAGTTGGTACGTGTGCATGTGTACATACGCTCCATGTACATGTTTACATTGTAGTTGTGTGCAGGTGTACGTATATGGCTGTGCAAGTGTGTGTGTGTTTAAGGAGGCCAGAGGTTGCTGCTGGGTGTGTGATTCCCCTACTTTCCGCATCATTTTTGAGATGAGCTGTCAGTTTGATGAGGTGGCTGACCAACGAGCTGCAGGTTTTCTCTTGCTGGCCGTGGCTGGGGTAACAGACGTGTGCTGACGCACCAGCTCTTACATACATGCTGGGGATCTGGACTCAGGTCCTCATGCTAGTGCATCATGGACCTTACCAACTGAACCACCTCCCCAGCCCCTAAACCTGTGCTTTTTCAGTGGCCAGGAAGACTCATAAAACCTCCAGGTATACAAGCACAGGAAGGCCCCTCCTTCCTGCTTGCTTTCTCCTTCAGGTTTTCCTTCTCACATTCAGTCAAGTTGATTGTATTTATAATGGAAGATGGCAGGAAGCATGTGGAAGAAAGAATCAATGCCAGGGAAAACAGAGACAGCTGTCAGAAGAGGAACGCTGCGGGTCAGATAGCCATCACTTACTGTGAATCCTACTCCTGCCTGGGGAAACTTCTGAACTTCTCTTGGCCTGGCCACTGCCCCTCACTAACCCAGAGTAGGCAATCACCCCAGGCTTGTGTTTCTTCTTATTCTAGAGAGTGCCAGGCCCTTTCCAAGGCAGAGGAATCAAATAACGCCGCACCACTGGCCCTGAGGTAGAGGCAGTGGTACAGGGCTTTAAGGCTTCGGCTTGACCATCAGATAGTTAAATTATTGCTGCATGGCCTATTGGTGTCACGATGCTGGGTGAAGAACTTACTCCATCAGATTTCTGTGAGTAATTAAGATATTGTACACAAAGTACTTAGCGCATGGTAATGAAAATCTCTCTGCGTGTGCACTGTAGCTATGCACGGATAATATGTGGGTGTATACACAGAGGCCTGAAGTCAGGTGTCCTCACACTCCACTTCATTTTATGTCACTGAACCTGGGGCTCACTGTGTGGCTGAACAATGAGCTCCTAGGATCTAGGTTTCCATGTCCCAGCAGGCGCACAATGGCATGTGTGGCTTCGTAAGTGAGTACTTCGGATCCAAATTCAGGGCCTCACGTTTGCTCAGCAACTGAGCTGTCTCCTTCGCCCCTAGTGATGAGTGTATGTCACTGATGCGACTGTAAGCCTTAGGCAGTGCAATCTCACTGAAAGAGATGGACCTGGTAGAATGGTAGAAGGCTACTCAAAGTTAGGACTGCAAAGCCAGAATGATGTGGGGATTTATTACATTTAAAATGGGCTAGTGGACTTAACACTAATATTTAAGGTGACTTAGCAAGATAAAAGTTCAGATAACATTACAGTGCCAA